CGCGGCGTCGTTGCGCACCGCGGCGCCGCGGCGCGAGAATTTGCCGTCCGCGAGCGCCTTGGCCCACGTGAGCTGGCCGCCGGGGTCGTGCCGCTGGCGGTGCTCGACCGCGGGCGCGCCGCCCTCGTCGTAGGCGAACTCCCAGATGGCGACGTCCTCGGCGGGCAGGAACGGCGAGTCGCGGCCCCAGGGCCTCGCGCCGCGCGCTTCGGCGCCCGCCGGCGCGCCTTCGACGCCCTGCCGCTTGGTGCTCGCGCCGGAGCTCGAGCTCGCGTCGTCCGTCGCGCTCGGGCTCGCGCCGTCGTCCGCGAGGTCGGGCAGGCCGCCCGCCGCCGCGAGCAATGCGTCGTCGTCGTCGAGGTCGAGGCAGCACGCGTCGGCGTCGAGGTCGAGGCAGCACGCGTCGGCGTCGAGCAAATAATCCAGCGCGAGCAGCTCGTCGTCGGCCATGCCGCCGTGCTGCCCGTCGTCGTCGACCGTACGGCGTTCTTAATTAATTCAACATCATAAATTGCACTTTCGTTGAAGAAAGTAATCATACCCAAGACACACCGACGATCCCGCGACGACGTTCTCTTCCGCCGACGGGCGGTCGCGACCACGAAACGCGAGTGTCGCCCCCGGCGCGCCGCCGCTCCACAAGCACCCCCGGCGCGCGCGCCTTACGTCACCTCGAGAGCCCCGAGACCGCGCTCTCGTCGTCGAGGGACGGCTTCTTCGGCCGCGTCTGCCGCGCCTTGCCCGGCGGCGGCGCGCGGTTCACGGGCGGGAAGGGCATGAACTTGCACTTGAGCACGTAGATGTCGTAGCTCAGGAACTCGTCCGCGGGAGCGAGCTTCGCGAGCGCGTTCATGACCTCGACGAAGGCGTTGCCCTCGCTGTCCTCCTCGATGCCCCAGCGCCCCAGGGCCTCGGACGCGATGGCCGTCGCCAGGGGCAGCACCTTGAGCATGAGGGCGTCCGTGTCGTCGCGCGCGGCGAGGATGGCCTTGGCCAGGCGCTTGCGGTTCGTGTCCGCGTCGAAGGCGGCGAGCATGTCCTTGACGAGCTGCTTGGCCATGGACCCGTTGATCGCCGAGAAGTCGAACCCGCCCCCGTCCTTGGCCATGGCCCGAGGCGCGGCGCGCGCGGCGGCGCTGCCCGGGCTGAACTTGATCCCGGGCTGCTTCTTGACGGCACCATCGTCTGGGCTGCCTCGTCGATGCATATGGGCGCTCTCCGAGCCTCGATCTCAGGTCAATACGCGATTGTTACGCTCCTCGCCGTCGCGCCGTGCGCGTGCGCCAGCAGCCACGGCGCCGCCGTCGCGCGCTACGTGCGCGAGCGCGCGGGCGGATCGAACTGCACCTGGCAGGCCACGGAGCTGCTGGGCCCCTGCCCCGGCGGCGCCCACATGCGGCCGTCGCGGCCGCCCGAGGCGTCGGCGTCGGCCTGCGAGGCCGCGTGCTGCCGGTCCGCGGTCTGCGTGAGCTGGCAGTACCGCGACGGCGACGGCCGGCGTCCCGCGACGACGCCCGGGGGCTTTCGACCGGGACCTCGGTAGGCGACGGCTGCTCCCACGGCGCCGACGTGCGCATCGGCATGGAGAAGGACGGGCCCGCGGCCTGGTGCGAGGCGTCGCCGCCGAAGCTCTGGCGCGGCGAGCAGCTCGGCGACCGGGCGCGCGCGTGCGGCGACGACGGCTGGCGCCCGGAGTCGCTCGCGGGCCAGTGCTTCGGCCTCGGCGACCGCGTCGCCGGCGTGGCGTCGGAGCGCGCGTGCCGCGACCACTGCTGCGAACGGAGCGGCGGGAAGAAGCGCTGCGGCACCTGGCAGCGGCGCGCGGCGTCCCGCGGCCGCGGCGACGTCCGGGGGAGATCGGCCGGGAAACACCGCCACCGACGCGTAGGTGGCGCGACGACAAGGGCTGCTTCGCGGGCAACTCGCGGCGGTGCCACGCGCCCGACGACCGGGGCCCCTTCGCGGGCCGGCGGAAGGTCCAGAAGGGCCGGACCTACGCGCCGCCCGCGATACTACGATAAAATGCGGTTTTAAGGAGCCCCCGGCCCGACCTAGGCGTGGTTGCCGTTCTCGAAGTCGGCGTAGGCCTGGGAGAGCGCGTCGAAGACGCGCTTGCCGATGAACTTCTGCTCCGTCGTGAGGTTGACGAGCTTGTCCGGGTGGACGAAGCGGCTCGCCTTGTAGTAGGCGCGCTTGACCTTCTTCGGATCCAACAGATCGCCGATGGAGATGGGCTGCCAGTTCGACTCGGGCCACATGACCTTGTCCATGCCCGCGAGGAGCGCGCGCACGTTCTTCTTCTTGCCGTGGTCCTCGCTCCACGCCTTCAACAGCGGGCCGAGCGTGACGTGGAGATCGTCGAAGGCCGCCTCCTCGGACGCCTTCGCCGCCGCGCGCTCCCGGAGGGCCTCCTTCGCCGCCGCCTGGTTGGCGACCATGGACGCGCGGCGCTCGCGCATGGCCGACGCGACGTGGGCCGCCTTGCCCGCCGTGTTCAGGGGCCCGTCGAGCGTGATGCCGACGATCGACGACCGCCGCTCCGCGGGCGCGCGGCTCTCGACGGCGACGTAGCGCTCGTCGACGGGGTCCCAGGCCATCTTGCCCTCGCGCACGAGCTTCTCGACGCCCGCCTTGTCGAGGTGCTGCGACGCGGGCTTCTTCTCGGGCTTCGGCGGCGGCGCCGGCGGCGGCGCCGGCGGCGGCGCCGCGGCCATGCCCGCCATGAGGTCCGGCGCGGGCTCCCGCGGCGGCGTCCGCCGGTCCGCGGGCGGCGGGCTCAGGCGCGCGGGCGGCGGCGGCGACCGCGTCGGCGGCGGCCGCCGCGGCGGCGGCTTCGCGGCCGCGGCGGGCGCGTATCCGAAGCCGCCGTCGTCGCCGTCGCCGCGCTTGCAGTCGAGCTCGTCGCCGTCGTCGTCGTAGAAGGCGTCGACGGACGCCGGCGTGTCGTCGTAGAAGGCGTCGACGGACGCCGGCGCGTCGTCGGCGAAGGCGCCCGCGCGCGCGGCGGCGCGCGCGGGCGCGGCGGGGCCCCGTGAAGCGGGCGCGCGGCTCCGGAGCCGCGGCGGCTTCCGCCGCCGCCGCTCGAGCGCCGCGGGCGACACGTCGAGGACGCGCGCGTGGACGACGAGCGCGGTCTCGCCGAAGTCGCCGGCGCTCGGCACCGCGGCCACGGGCTCGCGCGCGTCCACGACGTCGCGCCAGCAATAGCCGAAGAGCGCGTCGCGCTCGCGGACGCGCCAGCGCCAGTCGCCGCCGCCGCCGGCGAAGGCGCAGGACCGCCGCAGCTCGTCGAGCGTCGGCGCGTCGGCGTCCTCGCAGTCGACGACGAAGGCGTTGGGCTCGGACTCGCACTCGCCGCGCTGGCCCTGGACCTGCGGGGGGGGGGGGGGGGTCGTCCGCTTCTCCGCGCCGGCGGGGGAAGGGTTGACGAGGCGCGCACCGTGTAGACACACCAGACCTGCGCCATGAGGTCGAAGCCGGCTGGGGAGCGGCTGCCGGCACGCACGCCTCGGCCCACCTCGGCGCGACGTGCGAGAGAGGTTTTGAGGCCCGGCAACATGCAGCTCAACACCCGAGATGTATCCTCGGCACCGGAGGCTGCCGCCAGCGCCGGCGCGCTCTCCGCCCGGGCCTCGTCGGCCATGGGCACCCCGCTGGAGCGCAAGCCGAGCATGGACAGCATCAAGACGTCGAGCACCGTGGACCACGAGCTGCAGATCGGCCACGTCAGCGGCCGCCACGCCGACAGTCTCGTGCGCAACCTGGAGGGCGACGACTTCGACCTCGCGGAGGACCAGCGGCTCCTGCGGGAGATCTCCTGCGCGACGACGGGGCTCAAGGACCGGTTCCTCAAGCGCGAGGGCCACAACCTGCTCCTCGAGGGGAACTATTTGCGGAACAACATGACCAAGAACTCCGCGGGCGCCAAGTGGCCGCTCTGCGTGCCGCGCGTCGAGGTGTCGCTGCCGGGCTGCACGCTGTCGAGCGCGCACAAGCTGCGCATCTACAACGACCTGGCCAAGGAGTTCGCCGAGGGCAAGCTCAAGGGGTCCATCAAGTCGAACTTCGTGATCCGCCAGCGCGAGGAGGTCTACTCGGAGTCGATGAAGCGGCGCGCGTCCGTGTCGCCGGGCCCGGGCCTCGAGGACGACCGCGCGTCCGAGGCGTCGCGCGACGATTTCGGGGACGCGCCGGCCTACACCTACTTCCAGCTCGCGATGATGCGCGAGCTCTGGCTCAAAAAGACCAAAGCGTGGCAGGCGGCCGTGCTCCGGTCGAAGGAGGCGTCCCTCCAGGCGCACGAGAAGAACCTGCACCGCGTCACGGCGCTCCTGCCCGGCGCGGGCAAGCCGGGCACGCGCGAGGAGAAGGAGAGCAAGAAGCTCTGGAACCTCGTCGGCAACCGGCGGCTCAGTGCGCACTCCGTCCTCGCGCCCGTGAAGCTCTTAGGCAAGGAGCCCACGGACGACGGCCTCTGCCACCTGTCGCTGAACCCGAACCCGCTGCGCCACCTGTCGTCCATGTACCCGCGCCTCGGCTTCCGGAAGCCGGGCGTCAAGGCGACGAGCCGCGCGGCACAAGAGAGCGAAATTCCCAACTTCAAAGGCTCATAGCTCGGCCGTTTTCCACTCGTTTCGGCTGATTTTTGGACGAGCGATCATCTCTCGGAACGGTCTCGAAGCGTGGATGTGTTTTCCGGAACGCGCGCGCGCGGAACACTCACGTTGAAGCGACGTTGAATCACCCTTTTGCTGCCCAGGCGACGAGCCGCGCGGCGTTCACGCGCTACTACGAGTCCGAGGTGCTCCGGCCGATGCGCTACACCATGCGCTACGAGATGGGCCAGTCCCAGCTCCGCAAGTCCATGTCCGCGGCGGCGACGACCCTCGGCTCGACCGCGTCCCTCGACCGCGGCGGCCACTCCCAGTCCCTCGGCCACCTCCAGATGAACTCCCTCGGCATGGGCACCGTGGGCACGCCGCCCGTGAACTAACGCGTATTTAGTCGAAGCCCAGCGACGCGAAGCAGCCGCACTCCGGCGCGAGGTCGCCGCAGTGCGCGTCGTCGCCGCCGTCGTCCGCGCCGCGGACCGGGCTCGAGCTCCGGGGCGCGCCGCGGCGGCGCGCCGCGCCCGTCTCCGCGAGCGGCGGCGCGCCGGCGACGGGCTCGAAGCACGGCGGCGCGCCTCTCCGCGCGAACTTGGCCTGGACCCAGCGCCGGTTCATCGTCACGCCCTGCGCGCGGTTCGTGATGTCGCGCTCGACGTGGCGGAGCTCGACGCGGTCGAAGAGCGCCGGAGGGAAGAGGTCGCCGACCTCCTCCAGCGAGAAGTAGCGCGCGAGCGTGCCCTCGCCGCGCTCGTACGTGCCCGCGCCGTCCGTCTGGCCCCGGTCGTCGAGGCGCCGCTGCGCGAGGTCGCCCGCGCCGTAGTCCCGGAAGAACAGCAGCCCCCCGGGCCGCAGCAGGCGCGCCGCGCGGCGCACGGCCGCCACCATCTGCGCCGCCTCCAACGCCGAGAGCACGAAGACGAACGTCAGAAAGTGGAGGCCGCCGAGCGCGTCCGCGAGCGCCTCGACGGCGGCCCAGCGCGCGTCGCCCGGCGGCGCCGCGACGTCGCTCACCCAGGCGTGGATGCGCCGCGTCGACGAGCTCAGCTGGTTCTCGTATTCGTCGCGCGACTTCAACAGGCGGATCGCCTCCGCGGAGAAGTCCGTCGCGAGCACGAAGACGTCGTCGTTGGCCCGCAGCAGCGGGAACGCCGCGCTCCCGCAGCCGCAGCCCGCCTCGAGGCCCACGGTCATGCGCGCGAGCTCGTTGGTCGCCGGCACGACGTCGACGGCGACGCCCGTCCCGTCGCTCGCCAACGGCGCGCACCACCGCATGGGGTCGTCGCGCACGGCCGGCGGCATGAGCTCGAGCAGCTCGCGCCGCAGCCAGTGGCGGTCCTTGTAGAAGCGCACGCCCTTCTGCGCGTAGAAGCGGTCCCAGCGCTCGTCGAGGCCCAGGGCGTCGCGCTGCGCCTGCGTCAGCTTACCGCGGCGCTTGCTCCGCGACCGATCCCGCTTCTGCTTCCGCGGGTTCGGCGGCGACGCGTGCTTGTGCGGCAAATCGGACCCGCCGGTGAGGTCCACGGGCAGCGGCGCCGCGTCGCCCGTGGGGAGCACGGGAAGCTGCATCGCCGATGATTTTTTTGCCAGAAGAGCTTTGCTGCACTTGCCGCCAAGCAAGCACAGCGTTTTAAGCTCGCCGACCGATCCCGGCCCGGCCGTCCGCGCCGTCAAGCAGCAAAGTGTAAGCTCACCGACCGACCACCCGGCCCGGTCGGACGACGCTGTGTGCGAGCTTACGCCGGGGGCTCGCGCGCGGCGTCGTCGAGGCAGGCCGGCGCCGCGGCGTAGTCCCGCGCGTAGCGCGCGCCGTAGCACCACGTGAGCTCGTCGCCCGGCCGCGCGGCGCGGCGCGTCACGGCGACGAGCGCCGCGCCGCAGACGGCGCCGCCGCCGAAGGCCGCGCAGCCGCTGCCCGCGAGGTGGCCGACGGCCTCGTCCTCGCCCGGCGACGGCTCGTTGAGCAGGTGGCCCGTGGGCAGCGCGGGCCCGTCCGGCCCGCCCGCGAGGCGCCGCCAGTCGACGAGCGCGCGCCGGCGCAGCGCGCCCCGCGCCGCCGCGACCGCGGCCGCGTCGAGGGGCCCCTGGCGCCACCACGTCGGCGCGTCGAGGCCCGTGAGCTCGCCGACGGGCAGCGCGACGTAGGACCCGCCGCCGCCGTCCTCCGCGACGGTCACGGCGTAGCGCCGCCAGAAGTCCCAGTCGACCGTGCCGTCGGCGCGCCACGCGGCGAGCTCCGCCGGCGCGACGAGTAAAGCGCGGAACACGCCGACGGCGGCGCCCGCGGGCAGGTCGGCGTCGCCGGCGTAGAAGACGCCGAGGCCCTTCGCCGTGCTCCGCACGACCGTGAGCGGCTCCACGCCCGCGCGCCGCGCGAACGCCAGCTGGGCCGCCGTGCTTGGCAGCGGCGCGATGGGGTCGACGTCGTGGACGAGCGTGGCGACGGCCAGCGCGACGACGGCGGCCGCGACGAGGATGACCTGCGTGCGGCAGCAGGGCGGCTTCTCCGGCGGCGCAAGCGCCGGTGCAGCCGTCTCGTGCTGCGACGTCGCAGGCTTGCGCCGGCGCGGCTTGGGCGGCATGATGCGCGCGCACAAACTATGGCGGCATGCCCTACAAAGCTACTTCAACAAGACTTCACCAGACTTCAACATCGCCGAAAATCAGAGAAGTTCACGCCAGCAGCTCAGGTCGGCTCGAGGCGCGCGGGATACGGGCACCGTACTTACGGCGGCCCTACTTCGATCTACACCGATGCTGGGCCGCGGCCGAGAGGCCAGATCCGAGTCCGAGGCCGTGCCGCGGACGCGGAGCGCCTGCGCGTGCCAGTGATGGGCGAAGGAACGTAGCCGGCGCTTCCCGCGCCTGCGCAGTAGCACACCACGTGCGCTGGCCCACCTCGTGATGCCGTCGCGAGATCCCGCGTCCGCCGCGCAGCCTCCACGCGTAAAAAAAGCTCGGGCATGTTGCAGAACTGATCCTGGATCAAGAAGGACTCGAGCTAGAGCTACTCGCCCGATTGCAGCATGGCGCGCCCGCAGCGTCGACGAATGGGCGCCTGCGCAGGCGGGTGCCGTCGCTCGGCTCGAGCCTCCGGAGCCTACGCAGGCGCCGCGCGTTCGATCGTGAGGCGCGGACGGACGCGCGACCGCCGCGCCCGCGCAGGTTCGCCGATTCCTCGGCGTCGCGGCTTTTGTCGCGTGCGCGTCGGCGCAGAATCCCTGGGTGAACCGGAACCGGAACAAGGACGAGAAGAAGATCGGGAAGATCCGGCTCGACGAGGCGAGCGAGGCCGCGGACGGTTCCGACTTTGGCAAGCTCAGCCAGCTCGCGGCGTCGCTCCAGGACGGCGGCGCGAACCCGCTCGCGGGCCTCGGGTCCGGCGGCGCCGGCGACATGTTCGCGGGCATGGGCGAGTTCTGGGACCAGCTCATGGAGAGCGACGAGATGCGGGCGATCATGGACGACCCGCAGCTCCTCCGCGAGACGATCTCGAACAACCCGCTCCTCAAGGCCATGCCCGGCGTCGGCGACCAGGTCGAGGAGCTCCTCAACAGCGAGGCCTTCCAGGACCCGGCGGCGCTCAAGGCCGTCATGAAGCAGGGCATGGACGCGTTCAAGGACGCGGGGTCCGAGTTCGGGAAAGAGTTCGGCAAGCAGATGGAGATGATGATGAGCGACCCGGAGGGCTTCCAGAAGAACATGGCCGACGCCATGGCCCAGCTCATCCCCGGCGGCGCACCGGGCGGCGGCGACGCCATCCTCGAGGCCGCGAAGGGCCTCTTCGACGGCTCGGGCAACTTCGACGCGGCCGCGCTGGCCAAGATCCCGGGCGCGCCGCCGGCGCCCAATTTCCGCGCCGGGCGCCCGCGACGGCGCGCGCCCCGCAGGCATGGAGGCCCTCGCGGACCCGGAGAAGATGAAGGAGCAGATGGCCGAGGCGGCGAAGCTCTTCGAGCAGATGGGCATGGACCCGAGCGCGCTCGCCGGCCTCGCGAACGGCGGCCTCGCGGGCGCCGGCGAGCTCTAGGCGCCGGGCTAAGGGTCGCGCCGACGCGGGAGGCGCCGGGCGCCTCGGAAAATCTTCGCGCAGCCTGCGGCGCAGGCCGGCGCTCGCCGAACCGAATTCTGCCACAAGAGACTGGCGGCTCAAGGACCGATGGCAGCTCGCGCCCGGACGATGGCGGCGATCGCGCTCCTCGCGCTCATCCCGGCGACCGAGTGTCTCGTCGCGCCGCGCCGCCCGCGCCTCGGCGCGTCGGCGCCGTCCGGCGGCGACGCCAGGTACTACCTGGGCATCGACCTCAGCACGCAGTCCTGCACGGCGATCGTCGTCGACGCCGCGCTCGACGTCGCGCACCGCGCCTCCGTGAACTTCGACGCGAGCTTCCCCGCCTACGGCACGTCCAACGGCATGCACGCGACCGACGACGGCGTCGCGACGAGCCCCGTGGCCATGTGGCTCGACGGCCTCGACGCGGTCCTCGAGCTCATCCCCGCGAGCCTGCGGCAGCAGGTCGACGGCGTCTCCTTCAGCGGCCAGCAGCACGGGTCCGTCTACTGGTCCGCCGCCGCCGCGGCGCGGCTCGCGGGCGGCGCGGCGCCGCGCGACGAGCGGCCGCCCGCGGACCGCTACACGAAGCGCGCGAGGGGGCGCCCAATCCCCGCGGGCCTCCCGGGCGGCTTCCGGGAGGCGCTCGCCCCCGAGGCCTTCGCCGTCGCCGACGCGCCGATCTGGGCCGACGCGAGCACCCAGGACCAGTGCGACGCGCTCGAGGCCGCCCTGGGCGGGCCGGCGGCCGTCGCCGCCGCGACGGGGTCGCGGGCCTACGCGCGGTTCACGGGCCACCAGATGGCGGCGCTGGCGGCCCGCGACCCCGGCGCCTGGCGGCGGACGGCCCGCGTGAGCCTCGTGTCGTCCTTCGGGCCGTCGCTGCTCCGCGGCGCCTACGTCGCCGTCGACGCGTCCGACTCGTGCGGCACGAACGTCGGCGCCGTCGCGTCGCGCGCGTGGGACGCGGGCGCCGCGGAGGCCTTCGGGGCCATGGCCGGCGTCGGCGGCGGCGCGGCGTTCCTCGAGCGCCTCGGCGGGGCGCCCGTCGCGCCCGGCCACGCGGCCGGCGCCGTGGCCCCCTGGGTCGCGCGGCGCTTCGGCTTCCGGTCGTCGGGCGCGAGCCTCGGAAAGCCGCCGCCGACGGTCTACGCGGGCGCGGGCGACAACCCCTGCACGGCCGCGGGCCTGGGGCTGTCCGAGCCCGGCGACGTGGCCCTGAGCCTCGGCACGTCGGACACGTTCATGGCCGTGTCGACGGACTGCGACCCGCGCGAGGAGGGCCACGTCTTCGCGTCGTGCACGACGGCGGGCGAGTACCTCGCGCTCCTCTGCTACTGCAACGGCGCGAAGCAGCGGGCAGGGCAGGACAAGAGAGCGAAATTCCCAACTTCAAAGGCTCCGATCTCGGCCGTTTTCCACTCGTTTCGGCTGATTTTTGGACGAGCGATCATCTCTCGGAACGGTCTCGAAGCGTGGATGCTTTTCCCGGAACGCGCGCGCGCGGAACACTCACGTTGAAGCGACGTTGAATCTCTCTTGTCCTGCCCAGGCAGCGGGAGAAGATCAAGACCGACTTCCTGGGGCCGGCGGCGACGTGGGCCGACTTCGACGCGGCGCTGGGCCGGTCGCCGCCGGGCAACGGGGGCGTCCTGGGCCTCGAGCTCGCGCTCCCCGAGATCACGCCCGTGCTGCCGACGCCCGGCCGCCACTTCGTCGACGGAGCCGGCGGCCGCGTCAACCTCGGCGACGGCGCGCCGCGGCCGGAGGCGCTGGCGGCCCGCGCCGTCGTCGAGGGCAGGTTCCTGTCCATGCGCGGCCGCGGCGCGCGGCTCGGCGTCAAAACGGCCGGCGGCCGCGTGCTCGCGGCCGGCGGCGCGTCGCGGAGCGCGGCGATCACGCAGATCGCCGCCGACGTCTTCGGCTGCGACGTGCTCGCCGCCGACGAGCCCGACGCCGCGGCGCTGGGGGCCGCGTTCCGCGCGGCGCACGCCGCGGCGGGGACGGACGCGACGCGCCGCGCCGAAATCACCCGCGGGCGCGGGTCACACTTCACACCTCTCCGGCGCGGTCGCGTCGACGCCGATGCGGCCGATGCTTGGACGAATCGATCGCTCTCGTCGAGTGCTCGAAGCGCGGCGGAAAGCCTCGAAGCGGTCGCGTACGCTCACGGTGAAGTCGGGTCGAAGACGCGATCGCAGGCGACCTACGCGGCCTTCCTCGCGTCCTGCGGCGCGGGCGCGGGCGCGCTCGACGTCGTCGCGCGGCCCAAGCACGCCCACGTCTACGACGACGCCCTCGTCGCGCGCTACCTCAAGCTCGAGGACGACGTCCGCGCGGGGCGGCTCTAACTCGTTTTCCGGACGATGGTGCAGGGCACCTTGCTGGCCATGTTGCACGCCTCTCGGAGTGGCCAGAGCCTCTCCGCCGCGGCCCGCGCACCGCGCGCCGCCAACCTGTTCCGCGCGCCGGCGTTCCCGGCGTCGGCGGAGGACCCCGCGCTCGAGGGTCTGGAGACGCTGCTCTGGCAACCCCATGGACGACGACGCGCGCGGCGACTCGCCGACGAGCGTGCTGCCGCCGCGCGAGCGCGAGCTGCCGAGCCACTCGAGCCGCGTGTCCTTCTCCGAAGAGCTGCCGTGCTCCTCGCGGTTCCTACCGGCGCCCGGCGGGCCCTGGGCGTCGCTCCCGGGCTACGACCCGGCGCGCGGCGGCGCGCTGCGCGTCTCGGCCCACTTCGCCGCGCACCACCCGGCCTTCCGCGGCCGCCGCGGCGCCGCCGCGGCCGCGGCCGCGCCGGGCGACGACGGCGGCGGCGGCGGCGGCGGCGGCGGCGCCTACGAGACGGTGCTGCGCATGCACCCCGCGTGGGCGGCGAAGCTACGGGGCACCGTCGAGCGCCTGGCCGCGCGCGACGGGCCGTCGAAGTCGCAGCGGCGCAAGGAGAACAAGAAGAAGCGACGGGAGAAATCCGACGAGAAGGCGCGGCGCAAGGCCGCGGCCGCGGCGCCCGCGCCCGCGCCCGACGTCGACGTCGAGGCCCTCGCCGCCGCCGCCCGCGCCTACGCGGCCCGCAGCGCGCCGGCGGAACCCGAGGCGCCCGCGCCCGCCGCCGACGACGACGACGCCGCGCTCCGCGAGAAGAGGGAGGCGATCCTCTCCTGGGTGTCGTAGCTTGCCTCTTCGTGCGCGCGTGAGTTGGGCGACTCCGGCGTAGGCGGGGCAGTCGCGGCTCCCATGGACGGGTGGCGCAAATCACGGGACGCCGGCTGGGCGAAGCACTCGAAGGCATGCGCCATCGAAAATGGTCGCTCCTTAGATGCTCCTTCGCGTTGCCTTGACGCGTCTCTAAACGTAGGGGGCCCGGGAGGAACCGCGGGGGACCTTCGCGTTGCCGCTGACCAACCTCAGGTCAGCTCGCATTGCCTCTGCAATCGCTCCTCGCGCCGGCGGTACAGTGCTCCCTAGGAGAAACGTTTGTAACCCAACGCCGTTACCGGGCGCACCTCAGCGTCCATGCAAAAAAATCGCGTCGAGGCGCTCGAAATTCGAGCAAGCTCTTGGCGAGCAGCTCGCCGTCGTCGTTTGAGCCGAATCGATCGAACGGGGGCGGGGGGTGAGCGGGGCCCATCCGTCGTCCGCGACGCGCCTCTGGATGCCCCGGCCCGCCGCCGAGCGCCTCCGGTCGACGAAGAGGCGTCGCGCGCCCGACGCTTTCGCTCCTCGGTCGACGGGTTCGCCCCGCCGAACCCGCCGACGCTCTCGCCCCACAACTGCGCGTCCCGTCGCAATCGCGCGCCGCCCCGATCGCCGACGCCCTCGCCCGCAGGCGCGTCGTCATGATCCCGCGCCTCGTCTACTCGCTCCTCTCGCTCTGCTCGCTCGCGGCGACGTCCACGACCCCGCGCCAGACGGACGCCTACACGCTCGGCTACGACTACTTGCCGGCTTTCAGCTACTCGACGGCTTTCAGCTACAGCTACGACGATGACTCGACGAACGACGACTGCTCCTGCTCGACGGACGACTCGGCTGCAACGACCGCAACGATCTGCGTCCTGCGGGACACGACCGTCTGCTGGGGAAACTTGCACCGCTACATCGAGCGCACGGGTACGAGTCCCTTCGACGACATCCAAGGTGGTCGCTTCGGCGCGCCCGCGCTCGGCGACCTCGACGACGACGGGGACCTCGATCTCGTCGTGGGCGAAGAGGACGGCATCGTGAGCGCCGTTCTCAAGTACTACGAGAACATCGGGAACGCGACGTCGCCGACCTACGAGGCCGTCACCGGCGCCGCGAGCCCCTTCTACGGCATCGACGTCGGTTGGAGAAGAAAGCCCGCGCTCGCCGACGTCGATGGAGACGGCGACCTCGACCTCGTCGTGGGCGACGACGACCGCGCTCTCAACTACTACGAGAACGTCGGGTCCGCGGCGTCGCCGAGCTACAAGGAGGTCGACGGCGACGCGAGCCCCTTCGACGGCATCTGGGTCGGAGAAGGCTGTGGCCACGCGCTCGGCGACGTCGACGGCGACGGCGACCTCGACCTCTTCGTATGCGCATTCAACTACTACGAGAACGTCGGCTCCGCGGCGTCGCCGAGCTACAAGGAGGTCGACGGCGACGCGAGCCCCTTCGGCGTCATCGGCGGCAGCTGGCCCGCGTTGGCCGACCTCGACGGCGACGGCGACCTCGACCTCGTCGTGGGCGAATACTTCGGCGCCCTCTACTACTACGAGAACGTCGGGTCCGCGGCGTCGCCGAGCTACGCGGCCGTCACCGGCAGCGCGAACCCCTTCGACGGCATCGACGTCGGTTACGACATCGCGCCCGCGCTTGCCGACCTCGACGGCGACGGCGACCTCGACCTCGTCGTGGGCAGAAAAACTACGGCGCCCTCTACTACTACGAGATCGTCGGGCCCGCGGCGTCGCCGAACTACGCGGCCCTTACCGGCACCGCGAGCCCCTTCGACGGCATCGACGTCGGTGACGACAGCAAGCCCGCGCTCGGCGACCTCGACGGCGACGGCGACCTCGACCTCGTCGTGGGCGAAGAGGACGGCGTCCTCAACTACTTCGAGAACGTCGGGTCCGCGGCGTCGCCGACATACGCGGCCGTCACCGGCGCCGCGAACCCCTTCGACGGCATCGACGTCGGTGACTACAGCGCGCCCGCGTTCGGCGACGTCGACGGCGACGGCGACCTCGACCTCGTCGTGGGCTGCGGGATGCCCAGCAACTCCTGGGACGACAACGAAAAGAACGGCGTCCTCTACTACTACGACCTCGTCGTGGGCAAATACGACGGCGCCCTCTACTACTACGAGAACATCGGGTCCGCGGCGTCGCCGAGCTACGAGGCCGTCAATGGCAGCGCGAACCCCTTCGACGGCATCGACGTCGGTTACAACAGCGCGCCCGCGCTCGCCGACCTCGACGGCGACGGTGACCTCGACCTTTTCGTGGGTGAAAGCACGGGCGTCCTCAACTACTACATGAACGTCGGGTCCGCGACAGCGCCGAGCTACGCGGCCGTCCCCGGCACCGCGAACCCCTTCGACGGCGTCAACGTCGGTTTCCGGGGCAAGCCCGCGTTCGCCGACCTCGACGGCGACGGCGACCTCGACCTCGTCGTGGGCGAATACTTCGGCGGCCTCAACTTCTTCGCAAACGGTTACTGCACGCAAGGCGACACTGCCTGCCGTAAAAAGGGCCTCTGCGATCTGACCAACGTCGTCTTCGCCGAAGCGTCCTGCCAGTGCCTCGGCGGCTTCGACCACGAGGTGCCCGGAGAGATCGAGCAGTGCGGCGAGTGCCAGGCGGGTTTCTACGGGAAGACCTGCGAGCCGTGCCCGCAAGGGGGCGACGAAGACCCCAACGCGCCGCGCCTCACGGACACCTGCGGCGTCGCGGGCAGCGGCCGGTCGCGCGGCAAGTGCGACGACGGCGTCCGCGGCGACGGGACGTGCGCGTGCTTCGGCGACGTCTTCTCGGGGAGCGGCTGCACGGAGGGGACGTGTCCGGCGGGGACCGTCGAGACCGCGACCTTTGATGGCTACTACAACAACGCCGCATGCACGCCCTGCGCCGCGCCGTTCTATGCGCCGGACGCCGGCGCGACGAGCTGCAAGCTCGCGGACGCCGGCTTCTTCGTCGACTCGCTCGGCGCGTCGAAACAGGTCGCGTGCGATGCGGGCAAGTACAGCGGCTCCGGCGCGAAATCGTGCATCGACTGCGAGGCCGGAACATACCAGGACGCGACCGGCGAGTCTAGCTGCAAGATCGCCGAGGCTGGGTCCTTCGTCGACGTCGCCGGCGCGTCGAGGCAACGCCCGTGCCCCGCGGGCTCATTTTCTGGCTCCGCCGCGAGCGAGTGCGTCGACTGCGAGGCCGGTACGTACGTCCCGCGGTCGGGCGCCGTCGCCGCGGTCATCGCGGACGCGGGCTACGTCGTCGAGGTGGAGGGCGCGTCGGAGCAGACCAAGTGTCCACCCGGTTCCTACTCGGGCGCGAAGGCCTCCACGTGCGCGCTCTGCGACCCCGGTCGCTTCGCGAACCTCGAGGCGACCGCGAGCTGCACGTTCGCGCTCCCGGGCACGTACGCTTGGGTCGCGGGGGCCGTCGCCGCATCGGTTTGTCCCGCGGGCCGATACTCCGCCTCGGGCGCGTCTTCCTGCGACCTGTGTCCGGACGGACAGACGAGCGACGAGGGTTCGGCGACGTGCGCGCCCGTGGACGCCGGCTTGACGAACGCGGAGCTGTCGACGCTCACGTTCGAGGTCGGCACCGGGTTGGTGCTCTCGGGCTTGGACGCGGTCCGCTTCCCCGACGACGACGCGGCTCGCGAGGCCTTCGCGTCCGCCGTCCGCGAGATCGTCAACGCGCCCGGTGGTGGCGCGGTCTTCGACGTCTCCGCCGAGGACGTCCACCTTTCGGCCGGGCGTCGGCGCCTCGACGCGGCCGGGAGCGACGCGGTCCGCTTCGTCGCGCGCGCGGTCTACGAGCTCGTCCCCGGAGAGACCGCCTCCGAAGGCGTCATGGAGTACACCAAGACTTTTTACCAGGACACCGTCAGAACCGCGCTGCTCGATTCGATCGAGAGCGGCGACGCGCAGCGAGCGTTCGACCGCCAGGACGCGACCGGCACCTCGCTCGCGTCGGTCGTCGTCGACGAGGCGTTGAGCCTGGCGATGGTCCGCGGCGAGACGGCGGTCGAGATCGGTGAGTTTATTGCCGCCACGGACGCGCTCGTCGTCGCGTGCCCGCCGGGGACCTACTCGACGTCCGGCGCGGCGTCCTGCACGCCGTGCCAGCCGGGGTCCTACACGGCTCTCGCGGGCCAGACGGACTGCAAGTTCGCGGAGCCGGGGTCCTTCGTCGCGGCCGCGGGCGCGTCGGCGCAGGCGCCGTGCCCGGCGGGCACGGAGTCGACGTCCGCCGCCGTCGCCTGCTCGCCGTGCCGCGTGGGCTACTACAGCAACCTCACGAAGCAGTTTGCGTGTCAGCTGTGTCCTTCGCCGACGACGACGCTCGCGGAGGGCAAGACCTACTGCGACGCGTGCATCGGCGACTACTACTGGGACCAGCGACGGTACGTACAGCACGCCGTCGAGACGCCCCTCGCCGAAAGTGGACAGCCGCTGCCGTGCAAGGATTGCTGCTTGGAGTGCGACGGCGCGTGCGCGGTCAACGGAGATGACTGCGTGAGCTGCCCCGCGGGCACGACCTTGGAGTCGATGGACCTGAAGAAGAATTATTGGCGCGTGTCGGAGCGGGCGAAGAAGATTTACGAGTGCACCCTCGAGAAGTCGTGCGACGGCGGGTGGAATAGCTCGTGCGCGCCGGGGCACAAGGGCCCGCTGTGCGGCTCCTGCGAGGCACACTTCTTCTACGACGCCGTTAAAAACCGCTGCGAAGACTGCGGCGACAAGATCAAGGCGACGGGATCGAACATCGTCGGGACGATCCTGGCCGCGCTCCTGCTCCTCAGCGTGGTGGGCGTGGTCGTGCGCCGGTTCGGCCTCTCCGAGGTCTGGACGAACGCCGTGAACGTCTTCCGCGAGGTCGTCAAGGGCGAGGCGCCCGAGGACATCGCCACGGAGAAAATGGAGGAACAAGACGAGCCTGTTCAGGCCAAAAAGTCCGTCGTCGTCGACGTCGAAGAGTCCGCCGCGAACGAGGCGCTCGAGGAGGCGGAGACCGCGTTTCTGAGCGCGGCGCGGCGGTGCTTCGACATGATCGACGCGGACGGCAGCGGTACGCTGACGAGGATGGAGATCGCCGAGGCCGTCGCGGGCAACGACGAGGTCGTCGAGTTCCTCCGCACGTGCGGCGACGACAACCTCCGGCTCCTGCTGCAACCCGGCCGCATCGACGTCGCACTCCACGTCTTGGACCCGTCCGGGGACGGCGTGATCGACGCGGTCGAGTGGGAGGCGGCGGTCCAGCGGGGGCCGGGCGCGTGCCTCGACGGGCAAGGCGAGGCGGCCGCCAAGCGGGGCGCCGTGACGAAGCTCAAGATCGTCATCGCGACGTACCAGATTGTCACGAGCATCACGTGGACGCTGCCCCAGGTGCGGTTCCCGGCCGCCTTCGACCGCATGCTCAAGCTCTTTTCGTTCGTGAACCTGAGCCTCATCAGCTTCGCGAAGCCGGAGTGCTTCGGGAGCTTCCGCTACTTCGACAAGCTCGTCTTCGTGACGCTCATCCCACCGGTCGTCCTCGTCGCGATCGCGGCCGCCGCGGCGCTGCGCTGCTCGTGCGTGGCGCGCGAACAGCGGCCCGGGGTCGTCGACGCCGCGTGGTACTGGTCATTGTTCGCGCTCTACGTGCTCGTGCCTTCGACGTCGTCCTACTGCCTGCGATACTTCGCGTGCCTCGACTACGAGGGCGGCTACGGCGACGACATCTCCATCCTGCAGATCGATCCGATGATCGCGTGCACGTCGAACAGCTGGAAGCGGGCGTGGATGCCCTACGCCGTCGTCGCGATCTTCGTCTACCCCGTCGGCGTCCCGCTGGGCTTCGCCGTCGCGCTCTGGAGGCTGCGCGCGCGCGTGAACCCGCCGCTGGCGGACGAGGGGCGCGACGCGCCAGCGAGCTCCAACGTCATCGACAGCGCCGTCGCGATGCATCGCGTGCGGCTCCAGCAGATGGGGAAGCTCGAGATCCGCGACGGCGACCCGGCGCTCGCGCACGTCGAGTTCCTCTTCGAGGAGTACGAGCCGCGGTGCTACCTCTTCATCGTCTACGAGATCCTGCGGCGCATCTTCCTCACGGGCGTCCTCAGCATGTTCCGGGCCGGCACTATCTCCCAGATCGCCATCGGCCTCCTCGCGACGATCGTCTCGCACCGCGTGTTCACGTTCTACGAGCCCTACATCGAGGACGACGACGACCTCGTCTCCGAGATCGCGCAGACGGAGCTCGTCATCGTCTTCTTCTACGCGCTCATGGTCTTCGCCACGGCCCACGTCGGGCAGCGCGACGCCGCCTTCGCCAGCGACGCGTTCACGTACATCCTCATCGTCCTCATGTCGTCGACGTTCGCCGCCGCGCTCGCGATGGTCGTCCTCGGTCAGCTCGGCAAGCAGGACCGGCAGGACCTCTTCGAGTCCCTGTCCAAGTCCGTGACCTCGTCGTTCGGCGCCCTCGCCGCGCCCAAGGCCGCGGCCCGGGGCGCGGCGAAGGCGCCGCCGGTGGAGGCGGGCGCCGTCCGGACGGACGCCGTCCGCACGGACGCCGCGGACGTCGCCGCCCGGACGGCCCTCGGGGCTTAAGCATTGTGCTTCGGCGACGCAAAAACATGACGGAGATCTAGTGCAATCCTCCTGGGAGTCCAAAATGTTGCTAGCGTCCGCTTTGAAATCAGCGACGTGCTCTCAGGCAAAAAAGACCCTGGAGCATGCGCGCCGCCGCCGCGGCGGTCCTCGCGTGCGCCGCCGCCCAGGACGTCGCGCTCTGCGTCACGGGCCAGCTCCGGACCTTCGCCCACGAGCGCGTCCGGCGGTCCCAGGAACGCTTCGTCGCCGCCCTGCGCGCCGAGGCCTCGACCGTCGACGCCTTCCTCGTCGTCAGCGGCGCGCCGAGCGACGCGGACCGGGCCCGCCTCGCCGCCGTCTACGCGCCGGTGTCCCTCGACGTCGCGGCGGACGTCGCGGGCGCCTTGGACCAGTACGGCATGCTCGCGACGTGCGGCGCGCGCATGCGACGACGCGGCGACTACAATTGGGCGGTCAAGTCGCGCTTCGACGTCTTTTGGTACGGCCCGTTCCCGCCGCTGGCGACCCTCCCGCCCCACGCCATCCACTCGCGCATGCGCTGCTGGGTCTTCGAGGGCGCGTTCTCCGCGGACGCGGCGTCCCGCGCGGCGATCGACCGCCGGTTCGGGGACGAAGTCTCTCGCGCGGCCACGTCGACGTCGATGCGGCCGATGTTTGGACGAATCGATGGCTCTCGTCGAGCGCTCGACGCACGGCAGCAGCGCTCGCGTCGAAACGGTCGACTACGCGCGCGTTGAAGTCGGGTCGAAGATTCGAGGTGCGAGCAGGCGGTGTCCGCGGAGATGCAGTGGAAGCTCGAAGGGTCCTGTGTAGATTCCAAATATTCAACCCGAGTTCAATGTGCGTGTAATCGAACGATTTGGACCAGACTCTTTCGCTGTGCTTCGAGAAGTCCACGAGAGCAATCGATTCGTCCAAAAATCAGCCGAATCGACCTCGATTGACCGAGATAGAGAGTTCTGAAGTTTGGTGGGGACCCCCCAAACCAGTGGTTGGAATCCACACAGGCGCGGTCGACGACGCGGTTCGCGCGGTGCCGCCTCGGCGCGTGCGCGGGTCCGCGGACCGCGCGCGTCGACGACCAGGTCGCCGTCGTGCCGCGGCGCTTCCTGGGGGCCTACTTCGCCGACCTCGCGGCGCCGGACCCAAAGCGGGAGCGGACCGCGCGGCGCCGGCCCGAGGCGGACCGCGAGGGCTGCGCGTGCTGCGCGCTCACGCGGAGCCTCGTCGCGCGCAACGCGAGCCTCGCGCCCCTCGCGCTGCCCTTCACGATCGTCCGCGACGCGCCGGGCCGCTTCCGCGGCGGCTGGGCGCCGTCGCCGCTCGACGGCGGCCTCTTCGCGGACGCGGTGCTCGCGGCCGACTGGGCGCGGCCGCCCCGGGCCGCGCGCGCGCTCCGCTGCGACCCGGCGCTCGTGAAGCAGCTCGGGTAGCGGTTCTGTTACGCTTTATTTTGCAGGAGCGCGATCGCGCGGTCGTGGCCCTGGCGCGCGGCTTTCTTGATCCAGTCGAGGGCGAGCGCCGGGTCCTTGGCGACGCCGTTGCCGAGGTGGTAGGACAGGCCCAGATTGAACTGGGCGTCGGCGCTGCCCTTATCCGCAGCGATTCGCAGCCACTTCACGGCCTCGCCGTAGTCCTGGGCGCAGCCGGCGCCCGTCAGGTAGCGGCTGCCGAGCATCGCGGCGCCGTCGCGGTGGCCCGCGTCGGCGGCGCGGCGGAGGAGCGCCGTCGCCTTCGCGTCGTCCCGGGCGACGCCGATGCCGCGGCTGTGCATCGTGGCCAAGTTGCACATGGCGTTGGCGTCGCCCTGGCTCGCGGCCTTGTCGTAGTAGTAGGCCGCTTTGGCCTACCGGGAACTTTCGGTTTCCCGGTCGAAATCTCTCAAAAATATGACCGCCGCAGGACGCCGGCTTTGGCGAAGTCCTGTTTGATGCCGTCGCCGCGCGCCAGCATGATGGCGATGGAGTACTGGCTCTGCGGCACGCCTTGGTCCGCGGCCTTCTTCGCCCACGTCGCCGCCTACCGAGCGCGTCGATGACGACGTTTCGTCGTTTTCCCGGTCAAATCTCTCGAAAGAGGGCGCTGGTCGCCGCGGCCTCGGGGTTCTTCGCGACGCCGCGGCCCTGGGCGTAGAACAGGCCGAGGTTGCTCTGCGCCTCGGGCACGCCCGCGGCGGCCGCGACTTCGTAGTACGACGCGGCCCGGGCGTCGTCCTGGTCGACGCCGACGCCGTAGGCGTGCGCGTTGCCGAGGCAGTAGGAGGCGCGCGCGTGGCCCTCGGCGCGGCGCCAGTAGTCGCAGGCGCGCGCGTCGTCCTTGGCGAGGCCCTGGGAACCCCGCTGATGGTAGTAGCCCAGAATGAACAAGGCGTCCTGGCAGCGCGCGCTCTTCGGGTCCTCGGCCCGTATGAGTCGTTCCAGCGATGGCACGTCGACGCAAACGCGGCCGTCGGCGCCGACGAGAGCTGGCATGGCCGCCATCTCGCTTCCAAGCGCTTGCCAAGCTGATGATTCCGCAAAAAGATGCACAAACAATGCAGTTACAAAAATGCGATGGCGACCCTGCTCAACGCCTGCATGACGGCTTCCTTGCTGCCCCCCGCGCCGACGCGTGAGCGCGTGACCATGGCCGCCATGCAGGAGGAGGACGCGCGCGCGCTCCGCTTCGACGGCATCGACCTCCGCGAGCGCATCGGGGCAGCCCTTTGCGACGACGTGGCGGACGTGCGGGTCGTGCCCGGCACGGTGCTCGCGTGGCCCCAGTCGACGTCGGCGGCGCTCGTCGCCACGACGCGCGCCGGCGCCGAGCACGCGCTCTACCTGAAGAAGGTCGCGAGCGCGGACGCGACCGACCGACGCTCGAACGAGGTGGAGGCGACCTTCTACGCGGAGTTCGCCGCCGAGCTGCGCGGTCGCGGCGCGCCGGTCTGCGAGGCGCTCGTCGTCGAGGACCGCGTCGCCGCCGGCGGCGGCGCGCTCTTCGTGCTCCGGCGCTGCCCGGGCGCGCAGCGTTCGCCCCACGACGAGGCCCGCGCCGCGGCAGGGCTGCGGCTCCTCGCGGCGTTCCACCGCGCCGGCGCGGACCGCCGCGTCGTCGCGCGCGCGCGCGCGCGGCTCCACGCGTCCGCGGGCACCTGGTCCTGGCGGCTCCGCGGCGGCCCGGCCGCGCTCGCGGCGGCGGTCGAGCGCTGGCCCGCGTACCTCGCCGCTTTCAGGCCCGTCGCGCCCGCGCTCCGGCCCGCGCGCTTCGACGGCCTCGCGGCGCGCCTCGCGCGCGCCGCGCCGGCCGTCGCCGCGGCCCTCGAGCGCGCCGCGGCGGGCGACCGCGCGACGCTCGTGCACGGCGACGCCAAGGCGATGAACATGTTCACGGGCGACGGCCAGGGCAGGACAAGAGAGCGAAATTCCCAACTTCAAAGGCTCATATCTCGGCCGTTTTCCACTCGTTTTGGCTAATTCTTGGACGAGCGATCATCTCTCGGAACGGTCTCGAAGCGTAGATGTTTTTTTGGAACGCGCACGCGCGGAACACTCACGTTGAAGCGACGTTGAATCACCCTTGTCCTGGCCAGGCGACGGCGCGCTCGTCGACTTCCAGTGGGTCGGCGTCGGCGTCGGCATGCAGGACGTCGCCTTCGGCGTCCTGTGGCCGTGACGGTTTTTCGAGAGATTTGGGGTGGGAAAACAACCAGCTTGGTAGGTCGCCTTCCACCTGATCCACAGCGTCGACCCGGCGGCGCTCGACGGCGGCGGCGAGGCGCGGCTCGTCGCCTCGTACGTCGCGGCGCGCTACGGCGGCGCCGAGCGCGGCGCCGCGGCCGAAGCCGCGGACCACTACGAGCTCTCCGTGCTCGACTACGCGCGCCACCTCTTCTCCGGGCTCCCGACGGACGCCGGCGACGCCGCGTTCGCCGCGAGGCGCGACCGGGCCAACGCGGGGCTCGTCTCCCGGTACCCCGCGGCGTCGATCCGGCTCGCGGTGCGCGTCGACGAGATCCTACGGGCCCGGTTCCCGGAGTACGGGTAAGCCGTATGGCGTGCCAGTGGGTCCAGACGTCGATCGGGCCCGCGGCCGTGACGTCAACGCAGACGACACCGTCGACCGGGCAGCGCGGCTGTACAGCGGCCGCCCACGATAAACCGGCCCCCAGCGCCGGCGAACGCGTCGATGGCGGCGCAGACGAGCCTGCGGGACACGGAGCGGCTCGTCTGGAACACGTCGTCGCGGTCCGACGCCCTGGGCCAGCACGCGCTCTGGGGCTTCTCGCCCGCGCGGGACCTGCTGGACCCGCCGCCGGCGGCGGGCGGCGGCGCCACGGTGCTCCTCGCGTCGCCCGGCGACGTGCGCCACGTCCTGAAGACGATCGCGGCGCGGCGCCTCCGCGGCGGCGCCAAGGCGCCCGTGACCTTCCTCGTCCACGAGAATTCGGTGGAGCTCGTCGCGCGCCACCTCCTGCTCCTCCGCGTCGCCTTCGACTGGGAGCTGCCGCTGCGGCAGCGCGCGGCCGTCTGGCTCGAGCTCTTCGGCAACGCCCTCGTCCAGGAGCGCACGGAGACCTACGTGTCGCGCCTCGCCGCCGAGCTTTTGGATTTGGCGAGCGGCGGCGACGCGTGCGACAGGGCAGCAAAAGGGAGCGAAATTCCCAACTTCAAAGGCTCCTTTCTCGGCCGTTTTCCACTCGCGCGCGCGCGGGACACTTACGTTGAAGCGACGTTGAATCTCTCTTTTGCTGCCCAGGCGTGCGACCTCGCGGACGTCGCGGACCTCGGCCGCCTCAAGTTCCGCGACCGCGACGTCCTCGCCGCGGGCCTCCAGGCCTGGCGCGCGTCGAGCGCGCCCTTCGACATCGCCGACCTCTGGGACCGGCGCGTGCGCGCGCACCTCGGCAAGCGCTACGACGCCGCGGACGGTAGCTTCGACTGGGACTACCGCAAAGGCCTCGGGTCGCAGGCGGGCGGCGACCTCGTCCACCTCAAGCAGTACCGCCACTGGCGCCGCACGGGCGTCGCCTTCGAGTTCGGCGACCAGACCTACGCGCGGCCGAACCGGACCCTCGCGACGTTCGTCGAGGGCCACCTGAAGCACGGCAAGGACCGCGGGCGGAAGAAGGAGGTCCGCGGCTACTGGGGCGACATGGCCGTCGGCCCCTTCGCGGGCCTCGGCGTCGCCTGCGACGCCGGCCCCCACGTCGACGCCCTCCTGGAGATCGCCGACAAGGGCCACGCGACGGAGCAGCGGAAGCACAACGCGACGGAGGTCGCGGTCTACAACGTGCTGAGCTACCTCTTCGCCATCGAGACGGGCGCGCCCTACGCCATGACGCGGCCCGGCGACATCTTCTCGGGCCTCGGCGCGCTCAAGGACCGCGACGCCGTCGCGCACGCGGAGCACATCGTCGAGTCGCTCGACGGCGTCGTCTTCGCGCCGCTCGCGGGCCCCGCGGACGCCGCGCTGGCCAGGCTGGCGCCGGGGAGCGTCGACGCGGCCTACCTCTCCGTCAACGCCGCCCAGCTCCTCGAGTCGCCCGCGTTCCGCGCCGCGCTCAAGCCCGGCGCGGCCGTGACGGCGGAGAAGGCGCGCCTCGTCGTCCCGCTCACGGACCAGGAGAAGCGGACCTTCGACGGCAAGGTCCGCGACCTCGCCAAGGCCCACGGCTTCGCCGAGGCCCACGACGACGCCGACGCGGTCCGCTTCGCCTTCGCCGCGGCCGCGGAGTGAGCCGGGTTCATCTCCCGTTGCGATTTTTAGATTTCTTTCAAGTTCATTATCAGCCGTGCCCGTGAGCTCATTGTCAATTTCGACATATCTCCATCGTAACGCGCGGGGCCCCCGCCGCGACCAGCGCCGCGCGGGGCGACCCCGCTCACGGCGCGCGCTTCGCCTTGAACGCGTCGAAGGCGCCGGCGGGGACGAGCTTGTCCGAGAGCTGGATCTTGAGGTCGTAGGTGCCGCCGAAGATGGACGGGAGGTTCGCGGGGCCGAGCTCGTCGATGACGGGCTGGAGGCTGTCGTGGACGCCGATGATGTTGATCTTGGAGATGATGCGCGCGTCGAGCATGGGCTTGATGAGCTTCCAGACCATGGAGAAGATGCGCGGCGCGCGGACGATGAACGTCTTCCGCTGCCGCTCCGGGTGGAGGACCTTGAGCGCCGCGGAGACGTGGCGGAAGATGCGCACCTCGGCGAGGTGGCGCCGCCCGAGGCCGTCGCAGTCGATGACGAAGACGCCGCCGTGCGTGACCGTGGGCTCGCCCGCGGCCGCGGTCAGCGCGAGCGTCTTCTCGCGCGCCATGTCGATGAACATGTCGTTCTGCATGATCATCTTCTGCTCCAGCCGCTCGATGCCCACCTCGCGGCAGATGCCGCTCAGGTCCATGCGGCCGAGGCCGATGTAGGTCACGGGGATGCCGTTCGCGTCCGCGCCGAAGAGCTCGAACGGCAGGTTCTCGGTCATGAACCTGCGCGTCGCATCTTCGACCCGACTTCAACGGGCGCGCAGGCGACCGTGTCGACGCGAGCGCTTCGGATGCGCCTCGAGCACTCGAGGAGCGCCATCGATTCATCCAAAAATCGGCCGAATCGACGTCGACGCGACCGAGCTCGAGCGTTCCGAAGGTCGGTCGGGACGTCCCCGAACCGGCGGTCGGGTTCCGCGCGGTCGCGAACGCCCACCAGTCCGGCGGCGGCGCCGCGCCGTCGACCCAGGCCTGCTCGTCGCCGCCGAAGGACCCCTGCGCCGACTCGGCGTAGGCGCCGTCCTTGTTCCGCCGCTGGCGCCGCCAGTCCGCGGCCTCGCGGAAGAGGTCGCTTCGCTGCTCGAGCGTCTTCCGCGCGCGGACGAAGCGCAGGAGCTCGCCGTCCTCGAGCCAGCGACCGTGGGACGCGTCCCCGGCGACGACCCGCCGCAGCTCCTCGACGGCGCCGCGCTCCGCCGCCGTCGCGGCCTCGCCGAGGCCCGCGAGCGCGCCGCCGGACCGCCGCCTGGGCGGGAACAGAGAGATTCAACGTCGCTTCAACGTGAGTGGTCCGCGCGCGCGCGTTCCGGAACAAGCATCCACGCGTCGAGACCGTTCCAAGAAATGATCGCTCGTCCAAAAGTCAGCCGAAACGAGTGGAAAACGGCCGAGATCGGAGCCTTTGACGTTGGGCATGTCGCTCTCTTTTCCCGCCCGGACCGCCGCTTCGCGCCGAAGCCGCCGGCCGGCGTCGCGACGGACAGGAGGGCGTCGTCGCCCTCGGGGGACCACTGGAGGATGGCGAGCTCGCCGCTGAGCGTCTTGGGCCGCCGCGCGGCGCCGCTCAGGCTCCGCAGCAGGCGCCGCGGGCCCCGGGCCGCGTCGGCCTGCGGCGCGCGCGACGCCAGGAAAAAGACGCCGGCCGCGGCGCCGAGGAGCGCCGCGTCGGCGGCGGCGGCGCCGAGGAGCGCGGCGACGAGCGCGCCGGCGACCGCGCCCGCGCCGGCGACGGCGCCGACGAGCCGCGGCGGCGCCGCGAGCGCGGCGGCGACGGCCGCGGCGGGCGCCGCGGCCGCGGCGGCCGCGCGCGCGGCCGGCGCGGCGAGGAGCGCCTGCGCCGCGAAACGCGCCGCGGCGCAGAGCACGAGGGGCTCGTAGGGCTCCATGGCCGGCGGCGGCGGCGGCGCGTCGTCCGGCGGCGCGGCGGCGGCGTCGTCGCCGTCGTCGTCGTCGGCGGCCTCGACGCGGCGGTCGCGGACCTCGAGGAGCACGGCGCCCGTCGGCGGGCCCCGCGCGTTGGCCAGGGACGGCGAGCTCGCGCGGTGCTTGAGCGCGCGCGGCGGCGCGCGGAGCGGGAGCCACTTGCGGTCCCCTTCCAATTCGTGCAGGTCGCACGCCGCGGACGCGCCCGACGACAGCGACAGGCTCACGGTCGACGCGCGGCTGAAGGGCACGGTCTGGCCCCAGCCGACGCGGTAGTGGTGGTCGCTGCCGACGACGACGGACTCGAGCGCCGGCGGCGGCCGCTCGAGCGAGAACTGGAGCGGGAAGCCGCGCGGGTCGATGGTGAGGTAGCCGCCGAGGAGCGCGGACGTGTCCTTCTTGAAGTTCGTCAGGACGTGCTCCTTGCGCCGCCGGCGCCCGCCGCCGGGGTGGCTCGCGTCGCCCGCGGAGGGCGGGCACGTGACGAGCCAGAGGCTGTCGCCGTAGCGGACCGGCGGCCGCTGCGGCGGCGGTTTGGCGCTCTCGTCGAGGGCCGCGGACCCCCGGAGGAACTGGGAGATGTCGCGGCTGAACTTGACGCGCGTCTCGCCGCGCTCGCCCCGGAGCCGCGGCGCGAGGTAGCCGACGACGCCGCTCGTCGACGTGTTCCACGCGTGGTTGTCGCGGTCCACGAGGAGCACCTCGTCGCCGATCTTCACCGCGTGGCTCTCGGCCTTGAGCCCCCGGGGGTCCACGACCCGAAACGCCGCCTCGACGAAGTCGCCCGGCGCGTCGTCGCCGACGGGCGGCACGCACGCGAGCGGCTGCTGCCCCGTCCGCGCCTGGGCGGGAACAGGGCGATTCGGCTTCGACGTGCGTGTTCCGCGCGCGCGCGTTCCAAAGAGAGCATCCGCGCGTCGGGACCGTTCCGAGCGATGATCGCTCGTCCAAAAATCAGCCAGAACGAGTGGAAAGCGACCGAGCTCGGAGCCTTTGAAGTCGGGCGCGTCGCGCCCTCTTCCCGCCCCGGTCCGCGCGCGCCGCTTGCGGCCCTTGAAGTAGACGCCGACGTAGCCGCCGAGGTCCGCGTTGTTCGACGACCCGTCCCGCGCCTGCCGCGCGACGGCGTACTCGGACACGGCCCAGAGCCGGAGCTCGTCGCCGAAGTAGAGCACGTCGGGGTCGGCGGGGTCGACGACGCGGCCGCCGCCGCCCTTGCACGCGAGCGCCACGGGCGTCGAGCAGCTCACGGCCGAGTCGTCGTCGCCCTCGGGCGGGCCCGGCGGCGACGCGGGCGAGTCGTACTCGCTGCCGCCGTCGCTTCGCTTGCCGGACCGGCCCCAGCTCATGGGGCTCGCCGTGAGCTGCTGGCGCAGCGTCCGCGACCGCCGCGAGTCCTTCGCCGACGCCGGCGACGCATCCTCGTCGTCGTCGCGCATGGTCGGGGGGTTGGGAGGCGCGCTGGGAGGCGAGCCGGAAAGAGGCACGACGACGACGCCACAGCCTCTGGTTTTTCACTCCGGTTTTTGGCACAAAGCTCCATGAGATGCAAGCGATCTGCAAGCGCCTCAAGGTGCCTCGGCAACTTGGCCTCGGAGGAAGGAAACATGAGCGCCTCGTGGTTTCCTGGACGATGCAGCCATAGCCAGACGCCGCCGAGGCCATGGGCGCCAGCGCGCGCATCGACGAGGTGCATGTCGTATACAGCGGCGTGGGGCGGGCCGTGCCGCGGTCCCCACGAGGCATCCGCGACGTCAAGAATTGCGATCGAGATGGCCTTAAGCAGGCGATCTCCCATTCGCACGGGCTCTACTTCTACTGTAGCAGCGCACGGCGAGGGATGCGGCGTCCGTTAGTAACGCGCAGGACGCGTCGACGGGCGCGCCGGTGCTCGGTGGGAGGGGAGGGGGGGGAAAGGACGGCGATCACGGCGCCCGGACCATCGTGAGAGCCGGAGTTCTTTGAGAGGGCCCCAGCGCCCGCGCCGGCCCAAGGAGGCGCGCCGGCGGGCTAGCTCGTCTAATGCACTAGAGAGAGAGAGTGAGAGGCCGCGGCTACACAACTTTCGCGCCCGCGCCTCGCCACGTCTAGAGACGCGTCACGTGACGCGTCAGGGAGACCGGCCCCGTGGACGGCGCCGCCGACGCCCGGACGTCTCCCTGGAAGGCTCTTGGAGGGTGCTCGATCAGCCTCGGTCTCGCCAGTGGCGCCTGGCACCCGTGGAGCGCGAGCTTCCGGGCTGAGTTTAGGACGGGTCCGCGAACTAGAGGATGTCGCACTTGACCTCGGTGTACTTGACCTCGGCGTCGTTGAAGTGGTTCCGCTCGAGGTAGGCGGCGCCGTAGACGTCGCCGGCCTGCTCGCGGAGCGCGTGGCCCGGCGGCTTGAGGCGCGCGTTGAGGAAGGCGAGGCCGTAGGAGTTGACGACCGCGTGCTGGTCCGCGATGGGCAGGGGCTCGTAGGTCGCGCCCGGCGTCGTCAGCGACTTCGACGGGCCGATGCCGTTGCCGTAGGTCGGATTGTAGAGCTCGCAGGACGTGAAGGACACGTGGCCGCCGCGGACGATCTCGAGCAGCGCCGCGGGCCCGCCGTGGTCGGCGGCGTAGCGCCGCGCGGCCGCGTTGCCCTCCTCGCCGATGACCGTGTCCTCGGCGCCGATCACGACGAGCGCCGGCGCCGTCGCGCCGTGGCCCGCGGCGAGCGCGCCGCCGTCGGACGACGCGAGCGACGGGCACATGAGGACGCCCGCCTTGACGCGCGCGTCGCCGCGCTCGAGCGCGGCCGCCGCCGTCCACCCGCCAAAGGACATGCCCGTCACCGCCGCGTTCCGCGCGTCCACTCGGCCCGCGAAGCGGCTGTCCGTCCGCGCGAGGCCCTCGAGGCCGTCGAGGACCGCGAAGACGTCCGCGACGCGGTCGCGCTCCATGCGCGCCCGCTTCGACCGCGGGCCGCCGGGCGTCACGACCGCGCCGTCGTTGAGCGTGAAGCGCGCGCTGCCCGGGTGGTCGCAGGCGGCGACGACGTAGCCGTGGCTCGCGAGGAACTCCGTCCAGAAGGCGTAGGACGCGCGGAACGCGCCGCTTCCGTGGCTGAAGACGACCGCGGGCCAGGGCGCGGCCGTCGGCAGCGGCGGCGCGTCGCGCATGGCCGATTGGGGCCACGACGCGTCGAGCGCCGCGATCGTGAGGCCCTCGGCGTAGCCGCCGATGGCGTCGGGCCTCTCCGCGGCGGCTATAATCTCGGGCGTCGCGGCGCCGAGGAAGTCGCGGTAGCGGTTCGGAGGCCCCGACGCCGGCGCCGCGGGGTACCAGATCTCCGTCTGGAGCTTGCGGCAGGCGCCGCCGTCGTCGCGGCTCCGGTCCTCGAACTGGACCGTCGTGACGCCGACGCCGAAGGGGCCCGGCGCCAGGCCCGTGACCTTGGACCGCGCGCCGCCGCCGCCGCCGAAGGACGACATCGTCGTGAGCAGCCGGCGCGCCTGGAAGCGCATCGACGGTGTGCACGACTCTCGAGCGTTTCGCGGAGCTGCAACTCTCGAGTGGCGACGACGAGGAGGTAGGCCGCACCGCGAGCCTCTCGAGCTCGGCGGAGAGCAATGCAACATCGCAGCAACATTGCCCTCAAACACGAGATACATGCACGAACAGAGGCTGAAACGGCACGTCCACTCTCAGAGAGCGGCGCCTAACGTCGCGTCCGCCCGCGGTCGCCGTTTCCTCGCCCCGGCGTTTCGCGTCGCCGTACGCGCCGCCCCGCCGACGGGCGCCGGCGGGCCCATGTCGCCCGGGCGCATGCGCGACGTGGAGAACAAGGAGGGCCGCGTGGACCACCGGGGCATGGCGCGCGTCATGCCCCGGGGCCGCCACCGCCTCAGCGAGGCGCAGCACGCGGAGATCCGGCGCCACTTCCGCGCGGCCTTCATGGGCTCGACGCCCCACCAGGTCTTCCTGAAGTTCGCGGGGCAGCACGGGCCGCGCGGGTCGGCCGTCCGCATCGCGGCGCGCAGGGCAGGAAAAGGGTGATTCAACGTCGCTTCAACGTGAGTGTTCCGCGCGCGCACGTTTCGGAAACAGCACCCACGCTTCGAGAGCGCTCCGAGAGATGATCGCTCGTCCAAAAATCAGCCGAAACGAGCGGAAAACGACCGAGATAGGAGCCTTTGAAGTTGGGAATTTCGCACCCTTTTCCTGCCCAGGCGGCGCGCGACATGCTCCGGGGCGTGCGCATCCACCTGCGGCTGACCGTGCAGCAGCTGCCCGACGAGGACGTCATGATGCTGTTCCTGGAGCTGGACAAGGACGGCCGCGACGCCATCGACGTCGACGCGCTCGTCGACTACGTCAACGAGGGGGAGACGAAGTTCGACTTCCACCACGGCGGCCACGCGAAGACCGCGGCCGGGTCCGAGTGCCTGCGGGCGTCGCGGGCGCGCGGCGCCGAGCAGTTCGGCCGGCGCGAGGAGGACCCGGCGCTCGGTTTGGGGGGCGTGTCGCACGCGATTTTGCACATGATCTGCACGCGGCTCAAGGCGCTGTCCATCCAGGAGTACGTCTGGAAGCACGTCGCGGAGCACGTCGAGCACGTCGACAAGGCCAAGCCCTGGCTCGGGCCGAGCAACCGCACGGTGCGCGAGGCCGTCTTCGAGCACATCGACCTCAACGGCGACGGCCAGCTCAGCGTCCAGGAGTTCCACGACGTCATCCGCCACAACCTCAAGGTCTCCGTCTTCGAGCTCAACGACGAGGGCATCATGCACCTCGTCGACGCCCTCGACACGGACCGCAGCGGCTTCGTGAACCTCGACGAGCTCAACGTGCTCCTCGAGAAGGGCGACGCCTACGACCCGGCGGAGAGCGCGGGCGACGACGCGCCGGGCACGCCGGACCTCTCCGCGCGGCTCCAGCTCGACAAGACCTGGGTCGGCCCGCGGCCGCCGTTGCCCGAGGGCGAGGTCCGCCGCGCGGAGCGGCCCGCGAGCCGCAAGTCGAAGAAGCGGCCCCTCTTCCGCGGCTGGGGCGACCGGTCCAAGCGCGCGCCCCGCTTCGACGCCGCCTTCCTCGCGGCCAAGGAGGCCGCGGACATCGCCCGGGCCGTCGCGGAGGTGCGCCTCGCGCCGCCGCCGGCGAAGAAGACCGAGCTCTCCCTCTTCCCCAACATCCTCCTCGAGCCCAAGAAGCGCGCCGCGCGGCACTGAGGTCTCGAGGCGGCTCGAGCTTGCGCTAGAAGCTTACGGCCGCGCGCCTAGAGGTCGCCCTTGCCCTTGGGCTTGCCCGCGACGGACACGAGGTTGATGCAGTAGCGGTTGCCCTTGGAGTCCGGCAGGTTGTGGCCGAGGTGCGTGCCGTCGACGGAGACGGACTCGCCGTCGGGGAGCACGCGGACGTAGTCCCAGTTCGTCTCCTCGTCGCGGAACGACGGCCAGCCGTGGGACCGCGACTCGGCGACGAACTCCTCCCAGCTGCGGCCCCGGGGCGCCGTGAAGAGCGGGTTGCCCGTGTTCGAGTCGTAGAACGTGATCTCCTTGGCGTCGTTGCCGCCCGCGGCCTTGAGGTCGGGCAGGAACGACGTCTCGCGCTCCCAGTAGCCCGCGTACTCCGCGTAGTGGCGGTTGAAGTTGCAGATCTTGTCCGCCGTCTCGACGGAGCACTTCCAGCGCAGGTCCTGCTGCACGGGCGTCGCCGACGTGCCGTGGGCCTTGGGCGCCATGATGGCCTCGTCGCCCATGATGGCGCCGGGGTACTTGTCGGCGTTGCCGCCGAGGAGGCCGCCGAGGAGCGCCGTCGGCGTGAGGCGCGTGAAGGCGCCGCGCGTCAGCGAGTGCACCGCGGGGAGCGTGACGAGGGCGAGGCTCGAGACGCGCATGGTTCGACGAGGCGCGTGGCGCGAGCTTTATGGCAGAGCTCAGATGGGCGCCAGCGTGGCGATCCGACTGCACGATTCGCTGCACGTTCGAATAGCCGGGGTCCCGCCTCGCAGTGGCGGTTTTTGCGATGGCCCGTGCGCGCGAACGCGGCCGTCCCTATTTGGGAAACTTTGCAGGCCGCGAGAGGACCCTACTGAGAGTGCGTGTGCAGCGTATCGAGGCGCGGGAACCCGAACGCGTCGCGAAACCAGCCCGTGCGCTCCGCAGTGCAAACCAGTGGAGGTCGGTCGACGGGACCGCCTTCCGCGCCGCGCGCGACTACGGCGGCTGCTGCGAGCGCTTCGGAGGGTCCACGAAGGTACTGCGGACGGGGCGCGACGTCGAACATCGTCCCGACGCACGTATTTCGACCGCGGACTGGCGCTCAAAGCGCGCAGCGAGACGCTGGCGGGCGAGTTCGCATCGATGACGGCGGTTCCAACGATCTCTGGCTGCTGCGGAGGCCGCCCTTGACTACCACAACACCTGCGACGCGAAGCGCACGACCCTGGGACCCGTCGACGTCCCGCGACACGCCGACGGTTTCGGGGTCGTTTTCGGTGCCCGAGACGCGTTTTTTTCGCCGACGAGAAAACGCTGCCGTCGCGCGGTCTTTTTGGCCAGACCGTCGCGTATGGTCATGGCGACGTGCGCGCGGCCCTTTAGAGCGCCGAAAATGACTCGTATGTCGTCGCGTAAGGGTCGGTTTTGGGCTGGATTTCCTCTAGGGATCGGACGAACGCCATCCGATCGCTGCAACACCCTCACCGTTGGGCGTGAGAGTTTGCTGGGGCCTTCCTTAGACGTACCCGCCGGTACTGACCGTTTTTCCGAAATAGGGACGACCGCGTTCGCGCGCACGGGCCGACGCCGGGAGGCGGGACCCCGGATTTCGAATGATGCACTTTAGACTTGGCAGCCCGTCATGGCCCTCCTCGGCCGCCGCGCCGCGGCGCTTACGCCTGTGAGCAGCCACCGGCTCAGCGACCAGACGGAGTCGCCGAACGTGCCCGGCCTCAACGCCTGCCCGGCGACGCCGCCGGCCAAGGCCCGGTCGAAGCGGCGGGGCCGGGGCGGCGCCCTCGAGGGCGCCGAGGGCGGCGAGCGCTGGGCCTTCGCGGCGTGCCTCGCCGTCGGCTCGGGCCTCTGGTGCGCGCTGCTGCGGCTCTTCCTGAAGCGCCACAAATTCCCCTACCACCGCCACAGAACGGAGGCCGCGGCGCTCTACGGACTCCCGCCATTGGTCTTCGCGGGGCTGCTCGCGCGGCGCCCGCGCCGGGAGGGACGCAGCGCGCGCGCGCGCCGCGCCGCTCCGCGCGACCGCATCGCGCCGCTCCGCGCGCGCAGGTCTGCCTCGACGCGCTCGTCCATCGCAAGGCGGACCGGCCCGAGGAGCACGTCGACTGAGCTTGTCGTTAAATGGGGTGGGTGTTGGAAGGGCGCGCACTCGCCGCTCGCCCGGAGCTCGGCGAGGTTCGACTCGGGGGCGTCCGCGGCGGGCGCCCGCAGACGGCGGGGCGCCGCGAGCCGCGGGCCAGCTCTGAACCATATGGGAGATGATTATGGGCTGCGCCGGGCTGCCCAACGATCCCGCGCGTAGCGCATGCGCCTCGCGTTCGCGCTGGCGCTGGCGCGCGCCGCCGGCGCCGCGGCGCCGCGCAACGCGACGCTCGCCGTCGACGCGTCGGCCCTGCCGCCGCTCGTGATCGCCGGCGCGGACAAGGGCGGCACGTCCGACGCCTTCGAGCTGCTCCTGCGGCACGGCTTCGCCTCGAAGCAAAAGTTCGAGTGCGAGGACCCGTCGAGCTCGCCCAAGGTCCGCGACCTCTGCGTCGCCCGGTCCAAGGAGCTGGGCTGCCTCTACCGCGGCGGCGACGCCGCGTCCCACCGCGACTGCTACAGGCGCTACGCCGTGCGCGGCGCGCTCTGGATGGACGCGACGCCCAACTATCTCTGGGGCTGGGTCAACGGCGAGGACGCGGCCGCGCGCCTGTCCGCGCTGTCGCCGAACAGCGCCGTCGCGCTGTTGCTCCGCGAGCCCGTCGCCCGCCTCGCGAGCCTCTTCGCCCACTGGCGGTCGCGGCCCATCGGCGACGAGCTCGGCGCGGCGCTGGAGCCCCACGTACTCGCGGACCTCGCCTACCTCGACGCGATGCGCCGCGATTCCGTCTACGAGGTCGTCAAGGGCCGCAAGGTCGTCTTCGCGCGGAACGTCTCCGTGCCGCGGCTCTTCGGCCCCGGCGGCGCCGAGGTCTTCTCCCTGCTCCTCCGCGACTACCCGCGCTGGGCCGGCCGGGCCCTGGACAGGGCGACGTGCGAGGCGCTCGTCGGCGACAAGCAGCGGACCGCGGGGCCCTTCGAGGCGTGGCGGAACTACGTGTCGCCGCCGCCGTCCGCGGCGCCGCGGCCCTGCGCGCGGAAGAAGTGCCCGCCGCGGCGGCCGGCGAAGATCCCGCCCTGCCCCGTCTTCGTCAACTTCGTCCTCACGTCCGTCTACGCGCCGCTCGCGGCGCGCCGCGCGGGGACGGGCGCGAACTTCCCAAAAGGCTCCTCTCTCGGCCGTTTTCCGCTCGTTTCGGCCGCTTTTTGGACGAGCGATCATCTCTCGGAACAGTCTCGAAGCGTGGATGCTTTTTTTTCCCCCAAAACGCGCGCGCGGAACACTCACGTTGAAGCGACGTTGAATCAGGTGCGGCGCTGGGTCGACGCGTTCCCGGGCCGCGTCGCGGTCGTCCAGTCGGAGTACTACTTCGCGGACCGGGCGGCCTTCCTCGCGGCGTTCGGGCTCGCGCCGCGGCCCGCCTTCGCCGGCCCGCCGGCGGCGCCGGACGCGGCCGAGAAGGTGAACAACCGCGGCGCGTACGCGGAGCGCGGCGCGACGGCGCTTACGGCGGCGACGCGCGCGGCGCTCGCGCGCTTCTACGAGCGGCCCAACGCGGAGCTCCGGGCCCTACTCGCGGCGCGCCGCGACCTCGTCGTCGTGCCGGAGCCGGACGTGGCCGGGTCGTGGTGGACGATGGAGAACGGTTAACCTCAACTTTATGAAGTCACGGATGATGAAGTCCTTGCCGCAGCTCCGCTCCTCCAGCTCAGACGCTCGTGCTCGACTCACACCGCGCATCCCCGGCCTCGCAGCTCCAGCAAAAAACCATGGCCGTCCGCGCAGCCCTCCTCGCCCTCTGCCTCGGCGTCGCCGGCGCGCTGCGCGCGCCGGTGAGCATGTCCATCGCCGTGGGCGACAAGTTCCCGTCGGCGTCGCTGTCGAAGCTCGGCTGCGCCGGTTCCAACAGCGTCATCTACTTCTACGGCGCCGACGAGGCGCCGTCGTGCACGAAGCAGGCCGAGGGCTTCGACGCGTCCATGGGCGACTTCTCCGGCGTCAAGGTCGTCGGCGTGCGCAACGACGCGGGCGTGAAGGACGGCTTCTCCGACAAGTACGCGCAGTCGTTCTACGTCGACGCGGGCGACGCGATCCGCGACGAGATCGGCATCCCCAAGGACTTCTTCGGCTTCCTCGGCGGCCGCGAGACCTACGTCGTCGACAAGGCGGGCACGGTGCAGATGGTCTTCAACGGCCAGCTCAACCCGGAGAAGCACGTCGAGGCCGCCAAGGCCGCCGTCGCGGAGCTCGGCGCGTCGTCCGGCGGCGGCGGCTTCGAGTTCAAGCTCCCCTTCTAGGCTCTTCGTTAAGGTTAGGCGGCGTCCGCGCGCTGCTCGTCGTCGCGGTCGACGCGGTCGTAGAGGTAGGGCCGGAAGCCCGGGCCGAGCTCGAGGTCGCGCATGGGCTGGGACCGGCCGAAGTCCTTGACGATGGGCCGGTCGTACTGCGGGAACGCGTCCGCGAGCGCGTTCGCGCGCCAGGACAGCACGGACGTGTAGAGGGGCCGGTAGGCCAGGTTCATCATCGCCGACCGCAGGAGCTGGAGGCACAGGATCGAGAAGGACGCCGTGCCGATCATCGGCTCCATCCACGCCCACGTCCACGTGCCGACGTCCGCGTTCGACGCGCCGCGCGCGAGGGGCGCCTCGGGCGTGCTGCCCACGAAGTCCGCGAAGAGCGTCGCCGCCGTGTGGTCGAAGACCAGGGGGACGCAGCCCACGGCGGAGACGGCGCAGAGGCCGAGCCCCGCGTGGAACGGCGCCATGAGGTAGCGGCTCTGGACCAGGTTGACGCGGAAGATCTCGCGCATGGCCTCCGCGGCGCGCTCGTAGTCGACGTCGTCGACGACCATGATCTCCCGGATGAGGCGCTCCTGGTGCACGTCGTGCGCGTCGGGGTCGCGCGCGGCCTACCAAGCACGACGGTGACGATTTCTCACTGTTTTCCCACCCAACATCTCTCGAAACTCGTCACGACCACAGGACGCCGCGCGCGGCGAAGAAGAGCATCTCGTTGCTGTACTCGTAGATGAACCGCGGCATCGCTCTTACCTCGTCGATCGTCGGCCGCGCGGGCACGCGGCCGCCCACGCCCACGCGCCGCTCCTCGCCGCGGCGGTCCTTGCGCGTCGTCCAGCGGATGTCGCTGCGCTCCGTCAGGAGCGGCGGCGCGCGCTGCCAGCCGCTGCCGCGGCGCCGGAGTGCCGGGCCGCGCCGCGCGAGGGCGCGCCGCGGCAGCCCGGCGACGCGGCACGCCATCGGTCGGCCGGGGGGCAGCACACAGCCTCGGTGGTGGGAGGCGGGGGAATGGACCGGCGACCCTTGCTAACGGATGGGCAGCCCTGGGAGCCACTCCATCGTGTGTCTGACGAAGTGCGATGTGCACGTTGCTGACGTTGCCGTCAATGGGCAGCTCACTGTAAACCGCGCTCCGCATTCAAGCGCAGCCCGTCCAACCTGGCGTTCGCGCCGGCGTTCTACCTCTCGCCGCGGCCGACCGCGCCCGCCCGCGCCGCCGTCGGCGACACCGGCGCGCGCCTACCGACGCGCGACGCGCCGGGTGCGCCCATGGCCGGCTCCGACGACGCGCCGAGCGCCACCGAGGCCGCGCGCCGCGCGAAGCTCGAGCGCCTGCGCGGGAAGCGGCGGAGCTCCAAGTCCAAGGCCGGCGACCAGGCGTCGAGCTCGAGCCCCCCCGCGTCGGCCCCGACGTCGCCCGACGACCTCGGCGGCTTCCCCTCGTTCGACGCGGCCGCGCCGCCGGCCGAGGCGTCGGCGCCGACGATGCGCGGCGTCGCGGAGGCGCCGCCGGACTTCGGGTCCGACGCCAAGGCCCTCGAGGACCGCTGGGGCACGGCCGCGTACCTCCTGCGGAACCCGAAGCTCCCCGACGCGGCCGCGCTCGCGCGGACGGCGCTCGCCGCGCGCGACCGGCGCGGGAACAGGGTGATTCGAGTTCGCTGCGACGTGAGTGTGCCGCGCGCGATCGTTCCAAAGAAAGGATCCACGCTTCGAGGGCGCTCCGAGAGATCATCGCCCGTCCAAACATGAGCCGAAACGAGCGGAACATGACCGAGAGAGGAGCCTCCAAAGTTGGGAACGTCGCACGCTTTCCCCGCCCAGGCGCGCGACGGCGCGGAGTACGTGAACCAGCTCAAGGTCCTCGCGAAGCGCATGAACGTGCGCACGGGCAAGCTGAGCCAGATGCTCCTCCCCTACGGCGAGGAGACGTCGACGCTCGAACAGGCCCACGCGTCGAACGTCGCGGAATACGCCGAGCTCGCGAAGCTCTGTGCCGAATTCAAATCTTCAACTCGACTTCAATGTGAGCGCACGCGACAGTTTCGACGCAACATCTTCGGCGTTGCTTCGAGAACTCGACGAGAGCAATCGATTCGTCCAAAAATCAGCCGAATCGACTTCGATTTGACCGAGCTAGAGAATTCTGAAGTTTGGTCAGGACCACCCAAACCAGTGGTTGAATTCGGCACAGGCGAAGCTCGGGCTCCCCGCGGACGCGGCCGCGCGGCTCGCGGCGCTCGCGGCGGACACGCGCAAGCTCGTGCGCTGCAAGATCGCCGACGACAACGACATCGAGCAGATGCTCGAGTGCTGCCGCGAGCTCACGGGCTTCTTCGACGCGCTCGACGCGTTCGCCGCGGCGAAGCGCGTCCCCGCGTTCGCCGTCTTCCGCCAGTTCGACGCGTGAGGCGGTTCTTGCGGCGCGCGCCGTCCTAATTGGAGCGGGAAGCGTTAGACGCGCCGCGCGGCCGCGCGGTGCACCGCGGCGAGCTGCGCGCGGAGCGCCTTGACCTCCTTCACGAGGAGCCGCTTCTGCTCGCGGTTCGCCTTGTCGCCGCGGTCGCGCTCGTCCAGGTCCGCGTCGCGGCTCGCGACGACGTGGGCGAGCTGCTTCACGGCCGCGTCGCGGTCCCGGCCGAGGTCCGCCTCGACACTATCCCGCCGCGCCCGGAGGCCCGCGTTTTCGGCCTCGAGGTCGCGGACGCGCGCGTCGAGGAAGTTGATGACCTCCTGGTCGCTGCGCCGCTGGCTCCGCTGCGTCTCGTCGGCCTCGAAGGCCGCCTTGAGCGTCTCCTCGGCGTCGCGCAACTTCGCGCCGAGGAAGTCCTTGACGCCCTCGGCGCCCTCGAGCGCGGCCTTGAGGTCCTCCTTCTCGGCCTTGAGCATGGCGCACTCGCCGTCGAGGCGCTTCGCGCGCTGGTCCAGCGCGATGATGCCCTTGATCTCGCCCGCGTTCAACTTCGACGCGATCGCGGCCGCCGTCTCCGCGGACAGCGACCCCGCGGCGCCCGGCGGCGGCGACCGGCCGTTCGCGCGCTTGTTGCCGCCCGCCTTGAGCCTCCCCGCGACGGCGGAGCCCATGCCGAAGAGCTTGTCGACGCGCGCGAAGAACGCCCGGTCCGCCTGCGCGGACGCCAGGACGCCCCACGCCGTGAGGAACGAGAAGACCTTGAGCACGAGCTTGTCCTCGAGCGTCACCAGGGTCAGCCGCGGCGGCGCCCGCTTCTCCGGCGCCGCGAGGGTCCCGTTGAGCTGGCCGCCGCGCGCCTCGCGCCGCCGCGCGGCCTCCAATTCCCGCGCGAGCCGCGAGACCTCGCGCTCGAGCGCGGGCACCTTGCGCGCCTCGCCCTCGGCGCGCTTCAGCTTCAGCCGCTCGCCCTCGGCGACGCGGGCGACGAGGCGGCACTTGGCGACGTCGTCGAGGACGCCGCGGAGGCACGCGCGCGCGCCGAACGCCGTCGCCGCGCCGCCGCGCGCGGCCGCGCGCCGCTCCGCGAGCGCCGCGTCGCGCTCCGCCGCCGCGACCTCGGCCTCGAGCCGCACGACCTCGACCTCGCGCCGCGCCGCGGCGAGCTCGTTGCAGCGGAAGGCCTCGACGACGTCCTCGACGCACTCGGCGACGACGCTCTGCACCGTCAGCAGCTCGACGAGGTGGCCGCTCGACGACCGCGCCTCGGCCTCGCAGCGGCTCAGGAGCCAGTCCTGCGTGCCCGACATGGTGCCGCGGCACCGGCGCGGCGGCGCGGCGCGCGGCGCGCGCGGTTCCTCGGTTGCGACGCCGCGCGGCCGGCGCGCGGCGCCCTTGGCTGTGGACTCTGTGGACGCCGCGCAGCCGAAGACGATGCCGCGCGCGCGCCGAGCGCGCCGCTCCCGCCGGCCTCGCCGCCAGGCCTCGCCACCGCCGGAGGGCGCGTCCCGGGCGCGCTGGAGGACGCGGCGCCGCGCACGACGCGCCGCGCCCGTCCCTCCCCAAACGACGCGCGCGCGCCGAGTCGCGCGCGCCCGAATCGCCCCGGACGCGCGTACGCGCGGCGGGATCCTCAGAGCGAC